CGCCCATCTGCCGCCAGCCTCCATGCGGGTGGGATCTGTGGGCCGTGGAGGCTCGCCCTTGGACAGCGCCCTGGGGACCCTGGTCCGGCCCCTGCTCCACGGGCCTACGTTCTCACCACCAGGAAGAGCCAGATGCCAAGATGCCTTGTGGCATCACCTTTCACCAGGAGCACTCTCCAGACTCCCACTTCAATGGCTATTTCCTCACTGCTCAGGTCTCAGCTTCCTCATTCACTCACCTGGGGGGAGTGCACCTGTTCCACAGGAGCACTGCCCCCTTAACCAGTGCTCTACTACTCACCAGGGATTAGGATTAGGATTGTACCTCCATCGCTGGTCAAGGATACAGCCTGATCTAGGGCCCCCTATCTACCTGGTCTCCTAGGAGCACTGGGTGGGTAGGGAACGTCCAGGAACTGTGGATTGGTAGGACTAGGCCATAGAAACTATCCCCACCCCATCCCCAGCCACTTAAGGCAGCCCTGGCAGCCCTCCAGGCGGCTATTTCACTCTGGCTCCCCACCAGAGGGACCACACAGGCAGGGCTAGTTTAATGAGAGGTTTGAAGGTTCCCAAAGTCACCTCACTGACTTCTATTACTACCTGGGAGCCCCTTCTGCTGATTCTCACCTGTGTCTGAGCTGCCTCTTGGTTGCTTCTTTGTGAGCGGGCCCCTGAGACTTCCCTAGCCCAGCACTACTCACCCAGGTATGAACCTGCTCCTTTACTTTGGTCACCCTGTTGTCCTTAGTCTCCTTCCCAAGCCAGAAAACTTAGCTCTCTTCCTTCTGCCCTCTCCTGGTTGCTCAGAGACCCAACTGGCCTGCCATCCTCCATACCTACTGGGGGCTCTGGCAGCATTAGGGGGTGGACCCCAAGCTGGCCTGTAACTTTATTCTTCTTTGCCATTTAGACATCACTCCAGGAAAGGAAACATAGCCCTGCACACACACACACACACACACACACACACACCCCTACAGTTAAGTTTTCACTACTTTGAGAAGCTGAGATATGGAAAAATAAACTCAGTGATATTTCTCAAATTATTATTCATACCCCTGTTATTAGCCATTATATTATTTGAACAAGGCCAAACGTGTTTTAGAGTGCTCTCCATGAAAGTCAGCGCACAATGGAACAGGATGATCAGGACCCTGGGGGAGGCCTCAGGGAAAAGATCAATAGAACACCTGATTGGATACTGAGTGGGGGCCAAGGAGGACAAATAAAGGCAAATGGCGCAAGCAAAAAATGGAAGGCAACAAGGAACTCCAGAAAAAAAAAAAGAAAAAAAAATCAGTCCCAGAATAATCTCAGCACATTATTTGGCTCAGTAGCCAATTCTTTCACAGTCACAACACTATTCGTAGGGTTTCAGCATTTAGAATCAATCTATAGAGAAGGCAAGGAAGGCCTAGTTATGATCACAGGACATAATATAAAGTTGGTTGTAAAAAGAAAGGACAGGAGATAGTTGTCAGGAGAAGGGAGGAGGAGAAAGGAGGGCTGGGACCTGAAAGCCTTGTCTTGCATGGGGTCGGGGGGATGGAGGGGAGTGTTGAAGAATGCTGTTTAGAGTTGAAGGAAGGAAAAATTAAGTGCTGGGATATGTCCAAATGATATATGACCAAGTGCCCTTGGGGGGAAAAAAGCATAAGGATAGAACAGGTGTGTTAGTCTTGATTGGACTGGAAGTTGCCCAAGGCCCCATCTTTGAAGTCAGCCTCAATTTCTTTCGCTCAGTGGGCCACTAGTTGGCTAGTTTGGCCTTTTCCTTACAGAAGCCTGGCCACTCCATCTTGGGGCCACCAAGTCCTCACTTCCTCCTTAACATGGCCTCCCTGAGCAGACCTATTTCCTGCCATTTGTCCCTTGGACTGATCCCACCTTCAAAGGTTGCCTGAGCACAGACTTCCTGAGCATACCCTTTGATCCCCTCAGGCCGGGAACAGAGGCCAGCAGAGGCTGGGCAGGGCTCTGGTGGCCACAGGGGGACCAGATAGGACAGAGGTGGCAGGCCATAAACCCCCAGGGAACAAAGGCAGTGGGCAGCCTGTGGATGTCTAGGCCCCTTGTGGGCAATCAGCCAGGGGGCTCTGAACAGCTCCTTTTAGTTTGTAAAAAAGGGGGGTGTTGTGCCCTTGGGGTTATCCTATGTAATAAAGAGCTAATATGCTAATTAGACCGAATAGCAGAATGACTGTCCGGATGACCTTCCAGAAGACCTTCAGGGCAAAGCTGGGGCTGTGAGGGTCGAGCCCCTTGCACAAATTTCGTGCATTGGGCCTCTAGTATGGTAAATAAAAATGCAATTAAGGGTCCCCAAAGGCACTCAGAGCTTCAATGAAACAGCCATATCTGGCTATTTAAGGCCAGTTTTCAGAGGCCTCTGTGCTCACTGGGAGGACTTAGCCTTTTGTCCCCCTCCCTCCATTGCCACGTGGATGTAGGCAGCCAGGCCAGGAGGCAGGGTCAAGCCTCCTGATTACAGGATGAGCTTTATATCCCTTCATATTATGTCCTGTAATCATAATTAAGCCTTCCTTTCCTTCTCTATAGATTGATTCTGGAAGGCTGGGGACTGGGTCCACGATTTGCTTATCACTTCACTCTGACCCCCCATGGTCCTCTACTCCTTTGACCAGGCCCTGCATGGCTTTATCATGACAGAAGGAAGGACTGGGCAGGTGGGCTGGGGGAGATGGTGCTGTGCTGCCTGTATCATCTCTGATGGAGACAGTAGGCTTTCCTGGCCCTGCCGTCCTATCCTCAGCCCCGTGGCCAGCATCCAAGCAGCCAGCCCAGGCGGGACAGACAACCCTGGGAGAGAGCAAGGGAATAAAGTCAGTGGCTTGGGTTATGCAGAGCAGAGAGGAGCTCCGGGGCTGAGCAGAACACACCGCCCCGCCCCACCCCACCCACAAGTGATTACAGGATGAGCTTTATATCCTAGAAAGTCCACTGGGGAGGGCCACACTCAGACAGGAAGGGACCAACTCGAAGCTGCCGTGCAGGGAAGAAGAGGGGGTCCTTTGTGAGAAGAGTCTGTATGGCAGAATTTCTAGAGTTCTTTTAAAAAACACCTTTTGATAATCTTTTATCTCTATTCAGTTTTGCCTCTGTGTTACATTAAAAATACATACAAATAAAAATAAAAATATACTTGCTTTATTTACCAATTTTCTAAAAGGCAAAAAAGTCATAAAAAGACACAAGCAGTAAACAACATATTGCACTGGGCGGAGAAAGCTTGGTTTGGGCATGAACCAATCACTTGTCCGGCAAGGCTAACAAGTCATCACACAGACTCTGGGAGCTTATTTACACATATTTTAGAAATATATTAAAAAGAAGGCTCAGTTTAAATTTGAGGAAAGGTTTTCCTGACACCTGTGTCAGCACATACACTAAAGGAAACATGACTGGAGGCATGGCACCGTGTAAACAATTTCACAAAATGCTCCTGTGTCATTCTCAGCACAATGGAGCGATGCAGTCAACAACCAGGGGGTGTGCCTTAAATAATGAAATAATGCCGGCGGTAACACTCGTAACAGTAGAGAATGTTTTGGCAGTTTGTGTTCAGGAGACACATGTAATCCCTTCAGGACCTCACTTCAGAGGCAGGAAGCCGTCCGTAGCATCTAATTATCACACAGAGGCACAGACTACATCCTCAACTTGGTTCCTGAAGGTGATATTACTTTGTAAATAAAATTTAAAAAGTTAGACAATGTTTTGTGTTTGAGTTAATAAAAAATAGGATTAATATTCAAGAATAGGATGGTTTCATTATGAAAACCAACTGGATTAAAGGGGACTTCACTATTCTGGTATTCACTTCTTCATCAAAGAACAAGCAGAAACCTGCTTCCTTTAAGTTTCTATAGACTCAATGCAATTTAAGTCAACTGCTTCATCAGTGGGAACTTCTCATTCACTCCAGGGACAAATACAATTTTTTTCCGAACAATCTTTGGGATATATGATGCAACATGAGGTTTTGCAAAAAGTTGGGCAGACTGGTCTCACTCTTCCCCAAGTGTCCCAATGACCTGAAAGTGCCAGAGAAACTGGGGGAAGTCACCAAAGAGACGGAAGCTGCACCAGGTGAGGTGAGGTTCATGAAGAGACTAAGGGCTGTCCCAGCCCAGGGTGTGGTGGGAGGGGTGAGCTCACAGTATCAGCAGCTGCTCTGCCTGAGCCAGAGCTGATGTCTGGGACTCGTCAACTGAAGAACACGAATGGGTCCCAAACGCAGGGATCAAAGCCCGGTTTGCAGAGGGAAGTCACCATGAAGAGATGACAGACAACGTGCTTCGATGTACATACTGGTCATGGTCTGAAAAGGAGCCAAGAATGATGTTCTACATCAGTTCACAGAAGGGTCTGGGTGAGAGTTAATCTGATGGAGTTGGTTACACAAATCACCAGGCCTTAGTCCAGAGCAGGCATTTCAACTTTGTTCACCCCAAACTCGAGTGACATCAGGTAGAAATATCTGGCACTACGGTGCCTGAAGCCAAAGCTGCCGGTTTGCTTCACACCACTTAATGCGAAACATTTTCAAAAAGAAAATTAGGAGAGGCTGTCATTTCCACTTGGTATGTTTTAAAAACATCTAGTTTGACTAGATAATAATTTAGATAAAAAGCAGCTTCCAAGAGAGGACAGAATTTGATCCGCAGACACACACCCTGGAGAGCTACAGGAGGCGGCCCTCAGCTCATTTGGAGTCACACACGGGCACAGCCTGGTGTGCTGCCTTGGACACCCCCGGAAGTCTAGTCGGTCCAGGAACTTCTGTGAGCGCTCAGGTGGCCTCCCCGACACTTACACAGGGGATTCAGTCTTTCTTTAGTTATATCACAGCTAAGTCTCTTTCTTGTCCTCTAAAGTCCACATTTATATTTTAAATATAAAAATGTATTTCTTTTCAAACTCTTCCCACCCTCCAAAAAACTATGGATTTTTTTCCCTAAAACAAAACAAAACAACAAAAATTTATCTGTCCATTTCCTTAGAAACAAATTGTGAAGCTCTGTCCTCTTCCATCACCGTCTAAGGTAGATTGGCTGTTGGAGTGGGCGGGGGTGGGTGGGGGCAGTTACGTCTGCCCTTCGTTTTTGTGGCTCAGGGGAGGTCCATTTTCCTTTTCTTTTTTGTCTGTGGATTCGCTGAGTCCCAGAGGAGGACTGTCTTCTTCATATGGTACACAAAAGTTGCTTTTTCCTTGGCTTTCACAGTAAACACATTCCTTAGGAGAAAAAACATGAAATCAGTAACAAAAATGTAGTTCACCCCGAGTGAGGTACAGTGACCAGGTTAGCTGTAAGGCTGCTGGAGGAGAGGGGAGGACCAGTTGTTTCTGAGGGTCCTGCTCAGCAGTGGGAGTCATGCCTGTTTTGTGAGGAGTCCAGCCCTGCTGGACCCTGATCTGAGAGGCAGTCTGCCTTATGGGACCTGGAGTTAAGTTACTAGCCTCAGTTTTCTCATCTGTAAAATGAGATATCAATAATGTGCCAAGGGAGGGAGGGTCCTAAGGGGAGTGTCTCACTCCAGATGCCGCTAAGGTTGGGGTTGTGTAAGACGGGGACAAAAATTGCAGCAGTTCAGAGGACACCGAGAACTGGCAAGAGCAGCTTCCAGGGTGTGGGCCTCAGGAGGGAGTGGGGAGAGAGGCTGGGGTACAGACATGTCTTTGGAACTATCAGAAAGGAACATAGACTGAAGGGGCAGCTGGAGGGAGGCAGCCATTAAGAGCAGAAATTTAATATTCCTATCATTACTGAACAGTCTACATGGATATTGAGGGGTTATGATAAGAGAGGTGTTCTTTTTTTTCCAACATTGTTCCCAAAAAGGTCTTATTTAAATATCTAATCTCATAGGAAGATTAAAAATTTTTATTTACTTATTGAGAGAGAGAGAGAGAAATATCGATTTGTTGTTCCACTTATTTATGTATTCATTGGTTGATTCTTTTTTTTTTAAATATTTTATTGATTTCTTACAGAGAGGAAAGGAGAGGGATAGAGAGTTAGAAACATCGATGAGAGAGATCGATCAGCTGCCTCCTGCACGCCCGCCAGTGGGAATGTGCCCGCAACCAAGGTACATGCCCTTGACCGGAATCGAACCTGGGACCCTTCAGTCCGCAGGCCGATGCTCTATCCACTGAGCCATACATTCTTGTATGTGACCTGACAAGATTGAACCCACAACCTTGGCGGCATATTGGAACTCCGCTCTAACCCAGCGGTCACCAACCTTTCGGACCTCACGGACCACCAGTGGTCCACGAACCACCGGTTGGCGACCGCTGCTCTAACCACTAATCTATCTGGTCAGGGTACGGTATTCTTTTTTAAAATAGAAAACAAAACTAAAAGAAAGAAAAAAAACTCAAATTTCACACATGATTGAGATTAGATATTTCAGAAGACCTTTTTGGGAACAATGTTGAAAAGCCATTGGAAGAAAGTTCTTTGAAGTAGACTTATAGTGTTGCAGTATCTTTTCTCTTAATAAACTTTGAATTCTGGAAGTTTTAAGCTCACAGAACAGTAGCAGAGTACCGGGTGCTCCTGAGAGCCTTTTCATGTGCTATCAGAAAAGCAGCTCGGTGAGCTTACCGACACATCCATGGCCGTGGGCAGTCCGCCCGCCCGCATCCATGGGTGCACCTCCTGCAGCTCCTGCTTCTGCCGCTCGGTGAACCGGGGCTGCAGTTTCTGCAGCAACTTCAGCTTCTCTCTGTCCTCCTTCAAAACCGCGTCTACGTTTCTTCACAGCGTGTTTAGAAAGAGGTAAGCTTTAGAATGTCTTTTTCCTTAAAGAACACACTTTTCTTTCAGTATCAATAATGGAATTTTAGATGAATTTGATTAATGCAAATTTCCTTTTCATTTAAAATAGATAACCCTGTTTAGGGTTACTTACCATCCCTAGTAATAATCTGTGGTTTTTCTATTAAAATGACAATCCAAGTCACAATTTTACTTTTACTGTAAATTATACACAGGAGCTGGGTGTCTGCAGATGCTTGGTTCTGTACAGGGTGATTCATCTGGGCAGTTCCTACCAGGAGGCGGTGGGTAGAATACCTTCCCTTGCCTCCTGCCAATGCTGGGCCAGCGGGAAGCGGCCCTGGAGATGGAGCCCCGGTCTACCCTAACCCAGAGACCTGGCTGTCCTGACCGCAGAGTTAATCCTCCCTTCCTTCCCTCCTCCCTCCCTCTTTCCCTTCCTTCCTCCCACCTGCCCTACGGAAGAGGCTCCACAGAGGCAGGGACCATGAATGTTCCTTGGAGCAGCTGGGGACAGACCCGATTCACTACAAAGCAGCTGGTGGCCATTGGTCTGCATCTCTAAGACATACACACCCCATTTACCCCACAAGGTTACTGGGCAACAGAGCAAAAGAGATGAAGCTGGCACAAATGCTTCATAAATGTGTAGTGCGACACCCGCAGGGTCGCCGGGAGCTTGTCTTTCCCCAGCCTGCAATGGATTACTCTGAAGGGCTCTATGGGCCCAGGCAACCATCGAGAGGGAACCTGCTTCTCTATCTGCCGCACTCAACTCAACCTGAGAGGTGGCTTTCAGAGGGAAGTGCCCCCTGACTGGCGGCCTTGTTTGAGGACTCTTTCACCCAACCCTTTCCTGTCCCTAGGGAAAGGCCGAGTGATTACCGGGAAGGCATCTGGTACGTCATCATGACACTGTCGTCAGTGTCAGCCATCAGCAGCCAGACGGGGTCCTGGAGGACATACTTGATGAAGTGCTCACTTCCTTCCATGTCTGCCTTCGCTTTGGCTTTGTGATTATTCTCTGAAGAGTCAATGCTTCCAAAATACTTGCTGGTGTGGCTGGTGTTACTACTGCCTTTAAACACACGAAAAGTGGCGGGTTAGACCACTAGTGCCTTGCAGACCATGCTTGTGGACACATGCTGGGTTAGGGAGCCGAGAGTCTTATTTGCTAACTTATTTGGTGGGTTTCCCCTTTTTTCCCCAGTCCTCGAATTACCTGGATAATTAAAATGGGATACCAGCTAGTGCCATGGAGTGGCTCTCCTGGGGAGGCCCGAGCAGCCCAGGTGGAGCCGGTCTTAGAAATCATGCTCCCTTTCCTAGCGCTCAGCACCTCTCCACCAAAACAGGCCACAGAGAAGTTGGTTTTGGCTTTGTAAGCGGAGGCAGCTGGCCTAAGCATGTTCCAGCGAGCCTCCCGGAAGGAGCAAGGCCAGAGAATGGAGAAATGGAAGTTCACTTTGGGGCAGCAGGATCTTTGAGTTTGTGGGGAGGACCCGCTTTAATGTGTCCGGATCACACTTGTGCGATCTGGTGGGTGAAGCACGCCATCCATATGCTAGGCTTACCCAAGGGGAACCAACTCAGGAAGGCAAACCCTGGCCGGCCCTCCCAGCCTGCCCAGGGAGCCCGGGGGATGGTCCAATAAGGGCCAGTGGGGTGTGAGGCCTGCAGTGGCCCTGACATGGAAGCCAGCAGGTGAGAATGCGAGTTCTGACTGGGTAGGGCCCGCCACCTAGAGGCAGAGCCCCTGTCTGCCTGTCTGAACTATTGTGAGCTTTGAGTGCCAGCTGGACACCTGGTGCTAGGCCCTGAGCACGTATGGCCTGTGGCTCTGGTGCAGCTGGGTCCTCTAGTGCGGGAGAAGTGGAGGGTGCCCAAGAACCTCAGGTACCAACATACCTGTCCCAATTCTGGATGCATCACAGCCCAGAGAGCTGGAGCCCAGAGAGTCTGAGGTGGCAGAGGCCCCACTTCCAGACAGGGCTGACCCTGCAGCTGAGCAGAGGTCCTCGCGCAGTAAGAGGTCAAGCAGGTCACTGGACGTGGAGAGGGCATCACTGTTCTGGGCATCTGAGGGCTCATCTTGCTTTAGGAACAAGAGAAGACACCAGTCAAGACACAGTCAGGACACAGCCCCTCAGAGCTGGGGGGCAGCTGCAAAGCGACTGTCCGCACAAAGCCACTCAGGGAGATAGTGGATGGCATTCCTCCTCAGACCCTGCCTTTTCATGCGCCAAATGAACAGACCTGTGGGTATTGGGACTACAGCAAGGATCTAGGTGGTGGCCTATGAATGCATCTCATTCAAGTAGATTTTGGGAGAATCACGCAGTTCTCACATCCCTGGGGGGAAAGTTTTATGCCTGTTCCTCCACTACAGCCGACACAGAGGTAGAAGAGGCCACCACATACCCCAAGGCTGCTCTTTGGTGGTGGGTTCTGGCTTCCTGTACCTGTGCCCCAGAGTGGAGGCAATCCTGGGAGCACCCCAACCCTCTGGCCATTGGAACTGGGACTATAGGCCAGACCCCAGAAACAGGAGTGGGGAGGGTGGCAGACACCTTGGGAGGCTGATCTGTTTCCTGGGTCCCACTTCCTCTCCTGGGAGTATGCCCTCCACAGAGCACCTACTGGTTGCACTGCCATAGCTCAGGCCACTGCACACTGAGCTGTCAGGACATAAAACGTGTGGGAAACTATAATTTCATTAATGGATTAAGAGTACGCCAGCAGTCCTGAAGGCACAGGAGAATGGGGCAGCTGGCTCACCATGAGAACCTCTGCCCCCACTGCCCTCTCAGGAGCTGAGTTCTGGCATTTACCCAGCTGTGCTGTGTGCTCATATTTGTCACATAAAATCTCAAGCCCGCCCTGGCTGGTGTGCTCAGTGGTTAGAGTGTCCCCCATGTACCTAAGGGTTGAGGGTTTGATTCTCGATCAAGGGCACGTACCTGGGTTGTAGGTTCAATCCCTGACCCTGGTCGGGGAATGTGTGGGAGGCAACCAATCAATGTGTCTCTCTCACATCAATGTTTCTCTCTCTCTGCCCCACCCCCTTCCCATCCCTTCCACTCTCTTTAAAAAACAATGGGAAAAATATTCTCCGGTGAGGATTAACAAAACAAAAAAGAAACAAACAAACAAAAAACCTCAAGGTCCATGACAACAAGTCACAAAGTCATGTGGGCTGTTTGGACCTTTCACTTATCATCAGACAATCAATCTTCCTTCGTTCAGATCCAAGACAATAAAAAGGCCCCACGTCTACTCTGATGAGGTTGTTGAGCTGGAAAACATTAATTTCCAGCACAGGTATTTATGTCAAAATTGAAATACCTGGTGGAACCCTTGGCCTAAAACACTGGCGTCTGAGATGATGACCTACCGTGGGTGCTGCGGGGCCACCCGCTGTAGAGAAAGAGCAGCAGGGGATCCTTGCATTCGGCGGTGCCTTTGGTGGCCAGTCCCAGGATGTGCCTGGTTTGCAGTCCGGCCCAGCACCTGTTGTCTCTGCTGTCCCTGCAGCTGTAGTGCTGCCCTCAGGGGCCTCCTCCAGCTGGAGCAGGTTGAGCTGCAGGGGTGAGCTGCCACGCGACTGGAAAAGTGGTGGGGAGGCCCGACCCAATGGCCCGGTGGACGACACTGGTGTAGCTGGGGTGGCCACACGTGACACCGGTGGCCAACGCTCTGCCCGAGGACAAGCACACGACTGCTTGGGGGGTGAGGTTTGACCAGGGAACTCAGGCTGCGAGGCAGGGATCATCTGGCCAGGGAAGAAGGTCGGGGGCAAGTTCGGGGTCACTGTGGGGAAGGGATAGCTGGGTAACACCAAGGCCATGACTGGGGCCAAGGGGGCAGTGAAAGGTGGGGGCTGGATGTCCATGGGCACAGCGGGCACCGTGAAGCTGGTGTGGGGCTCCATAGGTGCTGCTGCCACGGCCCCTGGCACTGGTACAATTCCTGTGGCTGGGAGCACTGGCAGGGAGTAAGCTGGCACTGGGGTAGGGAAGGGCATCGCGGGGCAGCTGGACTGGGATGTGTCTGATGGTGACCAGGCTGTGGCATTCAGGCCCACCAGCGGGGGCCGGTGGGGCACGGGCCCCCCAGACCCAGTGCTCTCGGAGGAGTCCCGAGGCTTGACCCGTTTGGACTTCAGTTTTCTGTTCTTCCCAGTTTTTTTCCAAGCTGAATCTATTCCACAGGTGTTTCTTAGTCCAGGAGCAGCTACAATAATGGGAAAACAACCAGAGTTGAAAATGTACGTGATTTCTATTACGTCAATTCCCAGAGACACATAGAATCTCGGAAACTTGAAGGCACCTCCTAGTTTAACATCCAATGTTCCCAAATGTTAGCCTGGGAACTGTCAGAAACACCATACGGTTTCCCTGATCCTTGGTGCAGTGAGAAAAATCAGGGCAAAATGTTAAGTTTTTATAAAACTGGATTCAATCAATTTAAAGGACCATTCTTAATTGCAAGATCACAATTGTTTTCTTCTGACATTAAAATGTCCTTTCTTTTATGAAATAATGACGGTGATAAGTGGCATTAAAAAGGTTTTATTTGTCCAAAAAGATAAAAATAAAAAAGCTGGCAATTCTAAGCTGTTCCCCAGTACTGGTTTGTGAAATCGGATGTCATCTAAGCTGATTTTTGAATTTTATGAGCTTTACCACTACTGGTCCTTAAAAAGAGCTGCTTCCTGTCTCGCCTGTGATTCCACCCGAGTGCAAGTCAAAGGGCGGGAAGGAGCACTTGCCCTCAGAGCCAGATTCTTCCTCTCCTGTGACAAGTGGCTGAGCTGAGCTTCTTTAGGAGGCTGGAGGGTCTCAACTGGTGACAAAAGGGACTCTGGGCATGTCCCCTTGCCTCGGGCCAGCACCAGGAGTACTATGGC